GCGTGCGTATATACATGCCCATGGGTACACAGAGAGAGAGAGATTGTCAGTGTGAGTGAGTGAGAGTCAGAGAGAGAGACACTCACACATATATATATATATATATATACATATATATATATATATATATATATATATATATATATATATATATATATATATATATATATATATATATATATATATATATATATATATATATATATATATATATATATATATATATATATATATATATATATATATATATATATATATATATATATATATATATATATATATATATATATATATATATATATATAAAACAAATTAAATATAAATGTAATTATTATTTGTGACTGGGGTACAAATGCTCCAATTAAAAGAGGTACTAATACTAGTATTCTTTTTATTTGGTGTCAGATAAACTATCCCCCTCACGGACTGGGGAACACGGACGCCACGTGTCCGCTCATGATTAGTTGTACTGAGATACCGTGGTGGTCCACAATGTGCTCCGAATTATCCTGTCTGGAGAAAAGTGTACGTAAGTAAAAGAAATTAAGTGGGGCCCACGCGAGCTGTAAGTAGGTGACGTGGAATCGGCGCAGCCAAGATTTTCCTTACGAGGAAAAAAATGGTGGCCACTTAAATATGAGTGGCAGAAATTAGATCTTGTAAAGTGGTCCAGCCAACAAAGACTTGGACCAAAGTTGCTGTCATCTTTCCCCATTCAGAAAGCCAATTATTAAGAGGGTTGTAGGGGTAGTAATGTAATTTCTTTGGCTGTATGGTTGGTAGGGCAGAAATGGAAATTTACCAGTTTCCCTTTTTGTCCTCCGTGATTACTTGTAGTAAATTGGCGACTCTAGGGTACGATCAAATTAAAAAAAAAAAATTCAATCATCTCTATGGTGTTAAATTTTACATATTCTTCTAAATTATATGGAATGTTCTCTTGTTTGTTTGTTTTGTGTAAGAATGAAATATCTGATGCATTATGATCTGATATTTACAAGCCAATAGACACAACTTATGATCATCTTGTTTCAAATATGGAGCTGAAATGAGTTAAAATGGGGTACAATCTGGAGAAGATTACACATAATTTAGAAGATTCAGCTAAATTTGACAATGCAAGGGTGGACGTGTAATAAGATTCATAGTCGAGGGTGTGGTCATAACTAGTGTTCTAAAGATTGGCCGAGACGGCAGATTAATCGGTCTCCGAGGCGGAGGCGGTCCAAAACCTTTACGATTTTAGTGTAAATGTTCGAAAAATCGGTTTTTTGCCTGTGAGGTGGTTTGAGGCGGTCTGAGGCGGTTCGAGGCGGTATGAAGCGGCCAAACCTTTAAGGCGAGTCAAACTTCGATAGCAAAAATCGGTCAAAAATCGGTATTTTTTTTTATAATTCAAAATAAAAGTTGGGATTTTAATAAAAAAATATAAGTTTATACTTTATTTTGTTTATGTTAACTGTTATTGTTAAAGAACTAAGGATGTATGCTAGGAATGTTCAAGAATAAGTGTAAATTCAAAAAAAATGTATTTTTATTTATATTTTTAAGGATACTTATATTATGATCTTATTATTATTAAACTTTTATTATGTTATTAGCATATATACATGATGGCGGTATGTTTAAATGTCTTTTTATATATGTTTTGAGTATTTATATATAATATTTAGAAATATATTATATTAAATTTGAAAAAATCGATTTATTTCCGATTTATCACCGATCAATCACCGCCGCACCGATTAATCGTGAGTCGGTCCCTGACCGCCTCCGACCCAATTACCGTTTTTTACAACCTTGGTCACAACTAAACAAGAACTTTTGTTTTGTTTTTGTTTTTGTTTTTTTTTTTTTGTAATTTAACATTATCTCAAAGAGGTGGTCGTAATTTACCCCAATTTTTATAATCCCATAATCCCATTTTGGTTGCAAGATATGAATATGGGTTCAACAAGTTGTTTAAGATTCATCCCAAAATTGTGTGTCTATTCACAAGTGACACACTTGGATGAATTTTGATTCCCACTTGAGAAATTAAATTCAAAAGTAAACAAACATATAGATTAATATGATTTAGAGGGAATGAGAGTTTTGTAGGCGAAATTCAAGTAGAAAAACTGTACAATATATTTAGACAAACAATTTAGTAAATTAGAACTTTTTTTAACAAACTAGAAAGAGCTTAATCTTTTCAAAATTCTCCTAAAATTTGAAAATGACACACTTTGGTACTTTGCAACCCTAACCTATTATCAAATCATTTAACACTTTCACCAATTTTTTTTCTAAATCTTTTCAAAATTCTGTTTTAATTTTGAATTTTTCACCTATTTTTTTTTATTGTTTTATATGTATACTATTTAAAAAAAAATCGGGAGCATTGTCCTTAACTCCTGTGAGCTTTTACTCTACCATTTTTATCAGGTGTTACTTATATTCTTTAGTATACTCATTTTTTGAGCCCCTTCTTAAAATTGTGGATTCACATAGTATCTACTTACAAATTTCACAATATTCGATTTTTTTTTACCATAATTGTCTCATACAAACTTTTATTACAATTATGAAAATTGCATTGAAAAGTGATCACTAGAGAAAATATAAAAAAGTGCGATTCTAATTATTCATAAGAAAATATATGATGAGTGAAGTACTTTAATTAATTTCCTCTCATGTTAATTAATCATTAAAGTAGTAGGTCCATGCCATCATCTTCTTCCATTATGAATTAATTTGGTTAGTATTTGTCTTCTCACATTATATTTGACATGAAAGAAGATAAAATGGTAAATTATGAAAAAATCCCTCATATATATTTGGGTAATTACAATCATTCATCAACTATGAATCTTCTTACACGTTCATTTTTATGGTGTCAAATTTAACATAATCTTCTATATTCCGTGGAATGTTCTCTACTTCGTACAAAAAATGCAGTTTCAGAAATACCCCAATCTGATATTTTCAAGGCAAGTGTCACATCTTATGATCATCTTATTTTCAAAATGTGAAGCTCAAATGCAGTAAAACGGATACAAATTTAAGAATATTCCACCTAATCCAGAAGATTTCACTGAATTTGACATTGCAAGAATAAATGTATAAGAAGATTCATAGTTGAGAGGTGGTTGTAATTACCGAATATACGAAGATTTTTCGAAGTTCGACATTACCCTCGGAATGACCGTAATTTATCCATATAAAATAAACAAAGATGTAACTTTCACGGTACCGCCGTAGCTGTGTCGGTTGGCGGATAATTAAAAGTACTAGATAAAATGGAATCTGCAGGGCATAACAGACATTGGAATCATGCAAATTACAAAAACTACATCAAATAAAAGTTATATACTCATTAGTCCCCAGAAAAAAATAAAAATAAATAAACCCTCTTTTGTCCTGTCCCGCTAAAAACCAAACTTAAAAAAAAATTAATTAATTTGCATGGCCAAAAAGCAACTTGCAAGCTAGAAATTAAGCTCTTTATATCCAACACCACTAAACCCCATTTTTTTGTCATCTGAAAAAAGCTCAACTCTAGAAAATGGCTAATAGGCACAATCTTGCAATGGAGAGAACTGGCCAATGGTACTAAATACTAATCATTTTCTTCATTTCTTTTTTCTTACAAAAATAATAAATAAATTCCCTTGTCTGAATTTTTGCTGATTTTTTTTTTTCATATTTTCTTGATTTTTTTTTATAATGAAAAGGGTTTTCTCTCAAGAAGTTCCAACTGATGTTATTGTTGAAGTTGGCGAAGCCAGCTTTTCTCTTCACAAGGTATAACAGATTCTTGATTTTCAAAGTATTTTATTTATTTATATATATATATTGAAAATCTTGTGTTTTTGCAGTTCATGCTAGTAGCGAAGAGCAATCTGATTAGAAAACTGATTCTGGATTCAAAAGAAGCCGATCTAACGAGAATAAACCTCTCCGGGATACCCGGCGGCGCCGAAATCTTCGAAAAGTCAGCCAAATTCTGCTACGGCGTCAACTTCGAGATCACTGTCCACAACGTCGCAGCACTCCGGTGCGCCGCCGAGTACTTACAGATGACCGACGTTTACTGCGACAACAATCTCGCCGGAAGAACAGAGGATTTCCTGTCCCAGGTTGCCTTAACAAGCCTCTCCGGCGCACTCGTCGTCCTTAAATCATGTGAAGATCTTCTTCCCATGGCCGAGGATCTCCGAATCGTCCAAAAATGCGTCGAAATTGCTAGCGCCAAGGTACTAATTTCATTAATAATTATTTGAGAAAGATACAGTTTTCGTCCCTCACGTTAGCATTAATTTCACATTTGGTCCCTCGTAGTCATAAAAAACACATTTGGTCCATTGTGTATCAAAAAATCAACATTTTTAGTCATTTCCGTCAAAACTAACGGAATCGAGCTAATGCCGGGAAAATTACAATTTTTGCCCCTAAAGTTTGCACCGATTTTACATTTAGTCTCCATGTTTACAAAAAACACATTTCGTCCCTTATGTTGCAAAAATTCAACATTTTTAGTCATTTCCGTCAGTTTCTCGTTAAAACCAACGGAATAAAGCGTATGCCCATCACTGCATTTACTAACAGACTAACGGTGAATTGACGAAAATGACAAAAAATAGTAAATTATTGGATATCACACTGACCAAATGTGTTTTTGGTAAACATGGGTATCAAACATGAAATCGGTGCTAACTTGAGGGATGAAAACTGTAATTTCCCCAGCTTATGCCCATCAACGACTTGAACTAATGGTCAATTGATGAAAATGACAAAAAACGATAAATTATTGAAACACGATGGACCAAATGGTTTTTTTTTGTAAACACAAAGTGTGAAATCGATACAGACTTAAGGTGACGAAAACCGTAATATGCCCTTTATTATTTTATATAATGTATATTGTTTTTAATTTAATGAATTAATTTGAATTTTTGTAGGCTTGTGTGGAGGCAAATTTCCCAAGCCGGTCGCCGCCGAACTGGTGGACGGAGGAGCTAACAATCCTGGAAATAAACTTCTTCTCCAAAATCATAACATCAATGAAGACACGTGGCGCCAAGGGTCTAACCCTAGCCAGCGCTATCATCACCTACACCGAGCGATCCCTCCGCGACCTCGTCCGCGACCACTCCGGCGGAAACGGAATCGGAATCAGATCCACCGAATATTCCGACACCGATCTACGCAGCCGCCAGCGCGGCCTCCTCGAATCGATCGTCTCTCTCCTCCCGCCCGAGAAATCCGCCTTCCCCGTAAATTTCCTCTGCTGCCTTCTCCGCACCGCAATCTTCTTAAAAGCCGACGCCAAGTGCAAAACGGAGCTCGAGAAGAGGGTTTCGGCGATTCTGGAGCACGCGACGGTGGACGATCTGCTGGTTTTGTCGTTCACGTACGACGGCGAGCGGCTGTTCGATCTGGAGAGTGTGAGGAAGATTATATCGGGATTCGCGGAGAAGGAGAAGAACGTGGCCGTGTTCAACGCCGGAGATCTGAAGGAGGTGTGCTCCACTGCGATGCAGAGGATTGCGAAGACGGTGGACGCGTATTTGGGGGAAATTGCTACTTATGGTGAATTGGGGATTTCGAAGTTTAATGGGATCGCGAATTTGGTGCCCAAGGCGGCGCGTAAGGTGGACGATGACCTTTATCGGGCTATTGATATCTACTTGAAGGTTAGTGTTAGTGCTTATTAATTTATTAATTAATTAATTATTATTTCCCGCAATTTGTTAATTATTTTATTTTATCATGTGTGAATGAATATTTATGACTTGTATTCTGAGAAAATTGCACGTCACCTCCTATAAATTTCTAATTTTCGCACTTTACCTCCTTCGAAATGTTATTCTTATCGCACTGCCCCGATAGCAAAATTCTGATGGATTATTCATCGGAATTGTTTGCACGCTGCCTTTTTAAATATTATTTTTATTGCGCGTTGCCCTTAAAAACGCTGTTTTTTGCACATTGCCACTTTAAAATGTTATTTTTGTTGCACAATACCATCTAAAAATTGACTTATGGGGCAAAGTGTAATCAATATAATATTTTAAAGGGGGGATATCCATTTTTTTAATTTTTAGAGGAGAAAGTGCGAAAAACAGAAATTTATACGGGGCAAAATGCATTTTGTCCTATTTATATATGTGTTTGATTCTTTAATAGCTTCATGATGTGATTAATTAAATAATTGAAGCCTCGTTTGGTTCATAAGATAAAATTAGCCAATTTTTTTTATATTAAATATAATGAAAATTCAATTGTATTATTGTACTACAGGAGATTCAATAAAGAGTTTTCTAGAGAGAAAGATTACGCAATAATTGAGTAATATTTTCTTGTCGACCCGAAAAATTACTGGATTTACTAAACGTAAATCAAGGTCTAATTATTGAAATAATAAAGTTAATCTCCTCAACCAAACGAGATATGAGTATTATCTTGTGTTTGGTTAGTATTTAGAATAGGAAAACTTTGTTGTTAACAACTCTTATCTTGTCTTTGACTTATTGGTGAACTCTATGGTATTGGACCATGTGATATGTTTATGTTAACATGATTAATTAAATAATTGAGTCTTGTTTGGTGAATTGTTTAGGCACATCCGAATCTAGACGAAATCGAGCGTGAGAAAGTATGCAGTGTGATGGACCCGCTCAAGCTATCGTACGAGGCTAGGGTCCACGCCTCGCAGAACAAACGACTCCCGGTCCAGATAGTCCTGCACGCGCTCTACTACGACCAGCTCATGCTTAGAAGCGGTGCTGACGAGGACGACCATAAGACGCCCGACGCGGGGTCCACGAGAAACCAGCTCCAGGCTGACGTGTCGCTCGCAAAGGAGAACGAGGCCTTGAGAACCGAGCTTCTCAAGATGAAGATGTACATACAAGATATTCAAAGACCTCAAGGTACAACATCTAAAGCGGTGAGTACCAGTACCAGTACCAGTGCTAGTGCTAGTGCTAGTACGAGTAGGAAGCCTAAGTTCTTCTCGTCTATGTCGAAGACTTTGGGGAAATTGAACCCGTTTAAACATGGATCGAAGGATACTTTAAATTTAGACGAGGGAATGCCGGATTTGACCAAGCCTAGGAGGAGGAGGTTTTCAATATCTTAAGTACTTTAGAGAATTGCATTTTTTTTTTTTTTTGTGATTTTCTTTTGGGTGTGCTGAAAATGTTGTGTAAAGAGTTTGTTGAATTTTGTGTTGGATGTGTGGTGCCTAAGAAACTGTTGTTATGGCTGCTTCAGTTTGATTATCTTAGACAATTTGATTGTTGGAATGTTTGGTCTAACTTCTTGATTGATGTCTGCCTTGTTTAGATTTTTCTCGGATATTTTTTGTGTTTGTAAGAGTCCATCAAAAACAACTACAATAATATAAATCATTCAAATTCTAATTTACTCAAATTTCATCCTCGAATCTTAGTCAGCGAACTTTGACCGTCGTGACTCGTGACTGTTGATTTTTTTTTTGTTGGCCGATCTATACGGTATATTACTATGTTAACCGTTCAATACAGTAATATTTTTTATTTAGAAGTAATATTAATTGTTTTAATTAGATTTTGAATTTCTTTTCCAGACAATATTAATGTGTGCACTAGTAGAAAAATGGTTTTTTGATGCGATAAAAAACCATAACAAAAGGTGTCTTTTACTAGGTGACAATCTTGGAGTTGCATTATTGTTATGATTTATCGTAGCAAAAAAGTATTTGCAACGGTTATTAACTGTAACAAAGTTTTTATCACGCCCGAATATACTATGGAAAATGCGCAGCAAGAACTTTTCTTACTGCGAATTTGGTACTTTTTGTTATGGTTAATGGTCGTAAGAGATCATTTTTCTACTAGTGGTTGTCGACTAGCAATGTGATTGTATTGAAAGCCACCAAGCACAAAATCCCCAAAATGGAGGTAGAACTCTTGAAAAATCTGCCATCGGAGATTGTCATAGAAATCCAGTCAAGGCTACCGGTTCGAACAATCGGAGTCTGCAAGCGTGTTCGTAAGTCGTGGCAAAGATCTGATCCGGACTCGCGAGTTCGCCGATTCCCATCTCTCTAAACTTGGTCCGAGGAATGGCTGTCTGCAGTGAATTCAACCATTACGAAGTTTTCGCATTTGAATGCAGACTCGATCTCGAAGATCGCAAGCGTCGTTACAAAGAACTAACCAGTTTTGATTGTAGCGAATTGGGCATTAGCATCTGCGAAATAAAAGATTCTGTTTATTGGATTACATATGCAATCCAATAACTCGTGAGTATGTCGAGTTTTCGTACGAGCAGAGGCTGCTCGACGAAAGATTTTAACGGAGTAGTCAATTATGGATTTGGGGTGAGCAAAGTGATTGGCCAGTATAAGGTGGTTAGTTAGGAAAACGGAGAAGGATTCCGGCGGGCCCCGCGTTGGGAGAGAACAAGAATTCGAGCAGGGCGTTCCTTAACAGAAATTTTCACTGGTTGATGTTGTGTTTTGTCCCATGAAAAAAAAAAGCATTGGTATTCTGGTTCAAATATTAATGATCAGAAATTTCGCGGGAAATTATTTGCCCTAATTTAAATTGTCATTTAGAACAAGATTTTTGAGTAATTTTGACCATGGTTTAAATTCATGTAATTTTTTTAGGGCAAATAGCACTTCACCCCCTTGAATTAAATATATGTTTCAGGGGTTTATGACTGATTTTTGTGTCGTGTGTGTGTGTGTGTGTGTGTGTCGTGGGTGTGTGGGGTCGTGTGTGTATTATGTAACGAACTAGCGTTCGGAAATTGCCTCGGTGCTTAGTCAAGCTAAAGAAATGCTATCTTTTCCGGTTAAATGGTCGCTTTCGTACTCCATTGCTTAGTAAAAACTCTCCGTTGTTTGATTTTTGAAAAAAATAAAGAAAAAAAAAACGAGCATTGCTAAATAAACATTCGTAGACCGCGCTTGCTAATCAGGAAATTTGCAAGTAGCTGTATTCATGACATGATCCGTACAAGTCGAAGTCGCAGTTGGTGAAAGGCTTTATTAATTACCTATTCATAGTTCCGTGTAAATTATTTTGCATAACATAAAGTTTCCGTAGTTTAATCGTATTTGAGTCTCGATTTTTTTTTTCCATTTGCTTTATGATCATCGACTGATCGTGCATTCTCTTGGCTTTTTTTTTCTTATGAGGCCAGCAGTTTATACTGTTCTATCGTCGTTCAGTACGAGTCGGGATGGAAAAAAAAAGAGGTGCATAATTGGTTACTCTCGAAAAGATGGTAAATAAAACCATGTGGATTTCTGTTTGCTGATGCATATC